CTTTCTCATTTGTATTTTCCTGCAGTTTGAAATTTGAATACAGTGTTCATTGATTATGTATTGCGTTTGCGTCCCGAATAATTTTGGCATCCGAAAGGGTTAAAAAAGGGAGAAAAGGTACAAGAACCCGCGGACAGTCAGGTGGCAGCCAGTCTCTCAGAATCGAGTTGCGTAGTGGGTGAGTTGATTCTGAGTGGGATTGACCCCCAACCCGTGCTTGGTTTGATCTCAGCTGAGAATTCGTTCGGATCAAGCGGATGAGCGCTGTCAGGTCTCAACCGCAGCTCAGGCGCCGCGCGTGGTGTACTTGGGCTGTTACTTCGCGTGATTATCACAAAGTTCCAAAAATTACTCGCCTGTCAGCAATGCAGTGCTGCGAGTGAAGTTAGTCTAGCTTTCAACTGAGATGTCATTGTCGTATAACGGAAGGTAATTACAGAGGTATACTAGTAGCTTAAAAATACTGCAAGCTTTTGGATCGCCTGCAAAGGTATTCGAGAAAAACCATGGAGGTGTAGCGGGGGAGTTGAACTTGACGCAACACGCTTTAAGCAAGCACTAGTATGGCAGCCGCGCTCCCGCTGGACTAAGAAGGCATAAATGTAGATGCATCTTATACGCTATATGGCCATCGCATATTAGCGCGGCATTCCGTGAAAAGGACGGACTCGTGGCCCGTTTCAAACCTAGTAGATAATGATAGCTGTATAATTCAGAGCTTACATTGATCTTTACCGGGCCATCCGGGACTGGCGTTGCTTAACGGTCCTCGTTCTTGACCTTCCAGTTGCGCGGCGCGCCACATTCGAGTATAGGTGAGTGACTTAAAGGAACGTTGGCCATCGTATTGAATCATAATCGAACTGAATTTGGCAGATAATTTATAGACCATTGTGCAAAATGGCTATAATAACTACTAGTATACCAACTAAGATCAACACCATAGCCATATGCTGCCAGCAATTTGGCATAGTGATGAGCTCAAGGTCAAAATCTATGCCAAAATATATACATACGTGATTTTTTCACACCACGACAAGTGCTGGCGACGGGGGAAAAGGGAGACGTTGGACCCTGTCGAACTGGGGTCTATTTAAGGCGAGCAGGCTCGAGCCTTGGTTCCGCTTCGGCTACATTCCTGAATTGGCAACTTTGAACTACCATCTTACACCACATTTCCCATTGTCGAGGTGGTGCATCTTGAGAAATCGGATGCATCTGAACCTCATGTGGTGTAAATGGAGGTGTGTGGTGTAAGTGGTCGAGAGGGGGTGGACGGTGCAAGTGGTATATCCTCCGTTTACTCCGGCCAGAACGATTGCCTCTTGTGTTCCTCAGAGCGCACTCTGGGAACGTTGATGCAGAGTTCCTCAGCGCGTGTAAACAATTGAAAATCTCTGGCTTGTGGATTCACTCGATTAAGTAGGGTTCGGTCGATGAGGAAGAGAATTCATGTCCCCATTCCTATCCCCGTCCACTTGAAAACATCGGGATTCCAGCATTCTGAGCTTGCACTTCGAGTTTTAAAAAGGTCTTGCGCATCATACACCGTTGGGAATACCGGCTTTCTATACGCAACAACTCGAGTTTAAACTGAGACATTCGAGGTCAGGTGCACAGACGATTTCTGCTAGGACTCCCTCTACGTCGTATAATTGATGGACTCTCCCCGCATTACAATGGAATGATTCTCTCCTCGTTCGAACACATTCAATAATTTACATATATAGTACAGTTATTGTCTCTTCAGCTCGCTATTGCAGCCCCTATTGCTTCGCCTACCCCTTCGCCTACTCCTCCTGCTATCTCAGCATCCTCTCTACACTGCTGCTCGTAGTACACGCAAGTCACCACGATCTCGTCGAGTATCGGCATTCCTCCAGGCGTAACTGAAAGCTTTGCTGGTGTTTTCTTTTTGCGGAAACCTGAATGGCTCTCTTCGTAGATCGCGACAGTATTCTTGAACTTATCGGTCAACTAGATCGTGTTCATCAACATGTGCTCGGTTTCGTGATCAATTGACTTACTATGGCCTTCGAAGACTTCCGCTTCCAGTTATACTCCTGTCCGTTCACCAGGGATGTGAATGACCTGCCACTAATAGACAACCATCATTCTAGATATCCGTAAAGAAAAAATCAAAACTTGCGCACCTCGACAACAAATCCTCTTTCCTCGGTCGAATATCCCTCCCCCACGCCTGACAAATATCGGGATGGAACGACCGCATCTTCACTTGACCTATTTCCACCGGCGGATGCCCAGGATACTGAAACTTCCTTATCACTGTTGGCTCCGAATTCCAAGTTTTCTCCTCTGTTAATATCTCGTACACGAGTTGACCAGTGGTCAATGAAATTGTCGCGTTCTTGGGGTTGTCTCTTGAGTATATGAGATCCATGGTATCGTTATGATAGCACTGTCGAACACCTGGGGGGTATTTATATCCTTTCCTTCGGTCGAGGTGGTGTTGGGGTCCGCGAGTGCCACTCGATTGAATTTCGGTTCACACGGGAGTGAGCTCCACCTGAGAGAGGCGGTGGCTATTCTGATTCACTGGCGTTCGACCCTGTCTTTTATTTGTACTGTCCTCTTTGAGAGGGTATGCAACCTAGTTAATAGCTCATGTACTGCTTCGAGGAATCGTTGGTCTACTTTTGCGATATTTTTACTTGTACAAAGTCTTCAATACCTCAATTACGTCACTGACAGATTTTGGACACTCAGTGTACAACAACGCAACAACGCTCACATCTCAGTCTGACGTAGGTGGCTAACCTGAAACATCTACTTAGCTCTACAGGACATTTAGTCTTGTCAAGTTAGACGGCTACATGGAGCCCCTCTGCAGCCGTCTGGCTTGGCGAGACTACAAACATTCACAATTACACAAGCGATGCACATAGGTACGAGTTTTCGGAAATCCAAGTCTAATTCAATCACAGAGCTAATTCATTAAATTTACAAGCGTCATCAAAACAGACGTCACTCTCCGATGCGGAACTTCAACGCGGGTAGACGATTCGCGACCTCCCACTTTTGGATACACGCAACAAAGGTAGAGTCCGCCCCATTGATTTCCACTTCCCTCAATCCCTGAAATCCACCGTCCAAAACTCGAATAAGCGACTCCGCACATCGAAGAGACTCCTGATGGGTATCTCCCGACGTTGAGCCACACGGACGCCCGTCTTCCCCAACCCCAATAAAGATCTTCAACGAACGAACAAAACCTTCTCGCTTGACCCAATCCTTCGTAAACTCCCCCAGATTCCCAATACACCCAACGCTAATCCTCAACTCCTCCACTTCCTGCATCTCCTCCAGTAGATAGGACATCGACGCATGAGAAAGCCTCGATCGAGAGTCCGAAGCCGGTCGCCCATCGCCATCCATATCGAAACACCGAAGTTCGAGCAACTTGATCTTGCAATCCGAGCTAAAAGCAAGGTCGTGCGCACTAAAATACCCCATCTCGTACGATTCTGGTTCTCTGTACGCACTAACTCCAGACTCCAAGACGAGATGTTCGAGGTTAGGTGCGTAAATGACCTCAAGCGCGCTCGGAGAGTCAACCGCATGCAAGAATACGAGATTTGGGAATTCGAGAGGACCGTTGCCACCCGTATACGGTGGGCAAGATCGAATGAGTTCAATATGAGCCGCATCGAGCTTCATATGAGTGAGTTGAGCCCAAGGGAGGGAAACGAGCGGGATCTGGTGGTCTTCCAAGTACAAAGGGGTAGTGTCGGGGTACTCAGAGATCAACTTGGTGCGAATGAGAACCTGGCGCAAGGTCGGGGCGGAATTTATGAAGATTTCGAGAGGTTCATATTCGGATGAGTCCTCGCTCTCCCAGCTTGAGTTCGAGTCGGTATCCGAGCTGGTGTCTGAGGGGGGACTAGAGAATGAGCCCGAGACTGACTCGATGCCTGAATCCTGCGTCCCGGCGTCTGAGCTCGAGTCCAGATCTGAGAATTCGATTTCCTCCTTCGAGTAGTCCCCACTCCAATCAGATTCGTCCTCAAATTCTTCATCTACCGTGACCTCAACGGAGATATCCAACACCTCGAGCCTTGGAAAGCAAGCAAGGTCGAGCAAACAAGCTGCCATCTTACTCGAGCTGTTGAGGACCAAGGTAGCATTCTTCCAGCGATCCGAATGCTGTAGAAGAGTACCCAAGCACCAGGTAGGTATCGTCGTATTGGAGATGATTACTAGAGAACGGTCGACCGACCGACCGAGCGTCTTTTCCAGAATATTCTGGATTCTGGTGTCGGTGTCGGTGTCGGTGTCGAGATAACGGGGAACGGTGATTTTGTACCAAAGAGAAGGTGAGGAGGAGACGATGGCTCTCCAAGTCGAGCAGACATGCTCGAGTGTCAGAGCAGGCGTGAACATCTTCGGTGAACTGTCCGTTTCGACGAGGTCTTCAAAGATTTGGATGAGGATTTCGTTCGGAATGTATGATCGACGATTGTGAATTGGGAAGCCATTCCAAAGTGTAGAAGCGGGGGATAGGGAAACCAAATCTGAGAACGCCATGTCGAAGAGAGGGGAGTGATCTGGGGAAACGGTGTACGAACGAACCTCCCATATATAAGGCCCACCATGACAATGGGATACCCTATAAATCCAAATGGCTACCGATCCTCATGCCACATTTTATGGGCCATCGCTTAACATGATTGTGGCCGGGATGACTCTTCAGGCCACGCTCAAAGCGTTAAAGAAGGTTCCTCTATTCGGCGTAAATCGTGTTCAGCTCGAGACAACATCGATAACAGCTCCCCACCAGTCAGTTCTTCAGTCATTAAGCAGGAGATAGAAGGGATATGAAGCGAGAGCGCAAGTAGAACTGGACGAGTTGTGATTCATCTGGTAGTGGTGGTGGTGAGATGACAAGTTAGAATGGCCACCTAATTCAGGAAAGGGAAAACAAACAAAGGTAAGATGACACCCTGCCGTTATAGGATAGGGAGCCCGTACGTCGCTATAACGTCTTGGTCGATTAGTGGTTAAATCATCTCGTTGTGGTCAATGACCCGAATGGCGCAGCTACAACCGAGAAGCCGAGGGCTCGACTCCCTCCCGAGACACTGGCATAATAGAGCTGAGCCCTTTCTTTTTTGTTTATTTGAGCGAAATTTTCTTCGCTTCGATCATATGTACTCCGAAGTGCAAGTGGGGATCGTAGTTGAAAATTGTCAGTCATCCGTCGAGAAAAGTCTTTGAGGCAGTAAAGTGGCCATAGCCATTGACGTGGTCTTGGTCGAAGCCGCCACCGTCACGGTCGAAATATATATACGGACTATGTATTGACGATCGTTACAAGACCGAGCAAACGAGGTGGCTTATAATATGTGAAAAGCCTACAATACATAGGATATGCACGTCCTCGGTGAAAGCGAGAGAGCACTATAGTCCAAGTGCGACTGCAACTCCAGCAGCGGCAAACCACCAATCATTAGTCTCTGTCTCTGTCTCCGTCTCCGTCTTGCCAATACAAACCGATAGACCGCCATATAATCGCAACTTCGAGACGACTAGAAACGTTCAAAGCAGTGCAACATACAATACAGAAGAAGTTCAGTTCGTGTATAGTGTCTCCGCATATACACGCGACGGACTAAGTATCTATACCCTCCAGTGCGACCATCCTTGCACCCATTGCGTATAAATACCGATCCCCTTGGCCACCCGGCCAGCAGTCACTCTCTATGAATGACGGTCGTGATTCGAGGAATGTAGTTTAGCTTTACCTCATGCAACTCGGCGCTCCGGGCTGAATATATGCTCATGGACTCAGAAAGCACGGTGTCCTACGCCAGGAACACGAACCAAGCCGCTACCACCACAGAAACCTATCCTTCCATACCGTCCCTGAACACCAGCTCATCAAATACCAGAACGTCCTATACCTCCGGCACCTGCACGGTCACCCTGTCTCTATCCCTCGTAAACAATGAGGGGTGCTGTAAAGGAGCAGCTACCGAATTGGTAAATAGTTTTCTGGGAGAACGTCAGTCAGTCGTAACTCAGAGGAATGAAGCATTACAGCTTTACCCCCACTAGCTTCCAATTGAGCGGTGCTGACTGGAGCCATAATCCAACTTCTGAGACGAAGGAACGCCCAACACTGAACGACTTATTTCGGTCCTAAATGATACACCGTTGCATTTGAGGACGAAAATTCGAGGCATAGGCCCGAGAGTTATAGATATCGTGGTTCGTACATGCCAGGAGAAGAGAGGTGCAGCTGTAGTCGTTAAGGATAAAACGAGCGCCTAATCCGACCCGCCTCATCTCGTCCTTCAACAACCAACTCATTAGGTGTTAATCATGGAAAACACGGCCCTCCTTCCAGGAAAAATAGCGCCCGGAGCGTCTCTGTATTGAACGACTGTATCGACCTTGAAGAAGGCTGTGCAGCCGGCGGATTTGGATGAGTTGAGAGGAGACGGAATGGAGTTGAGGTGGGTAGATGGAGGGAGGCGGGACAGATGTCAGGACCAGAAAGTCGTGCTCACATATGAAAACTGACCAACAAGGGTGAGGTTGGGGGCGACACGACCATAGCGTGGAATCCAAGACGAAGAGCACCTGGAATACGACTTATCCAACCATGAAGACGACCTGGGTGGGGCTGTGCATCCGAGGAAAGGAGGGAAGATTTGGATGAGCTGAGGATGGGCAGAATAGCGTTGAAGTGGGTGGATGGTTGGGAGCAATGGCAAGGAGTACTAGTCATTCTTTCAGACCTTGGAAGGAGGATTGGCGTCAGAGCTCAGAGTCCGAATGAAAAAGGGGCCAAACAATAGGGAGAACCGACGGAAGTGAGGATAAACCATTCGAAACGAGACTCACGAAGATGCACCGGCACCGGTCGCGGTGTTCCCGAAAGATACGACATTCATAGCTTCCCTGCTCTCCCAGTTTCGCTCTCCGTGCCTACCACCACAAATGTGTATTGTCAATTACGCTGAAAGAGAAGAGCAGTTATGATTCAGATGGACTACTCCAATTCAGAAGGGAGAACGTACCTCGTCCCATGTATGTCTATCGACCTTCGGGTATCCAAAACCCAACCGCTCTCCTCCATACGCCCTGTCTTGAATTGTGCCGGGTGAGCTCGAATTCGATGCGGAGCCGATGAACAAGGGCAACATACACACCTGCTTGAAGCCTCGACATTGAGACGAATAGAGCTCATCGTGAGCGCTCTTGAACAGTACGCATGATCGTTTCGTACCCTTGGGCGAGGTAGAGACCATAGGCAGAAACGAGACTCAGATGAGAACCTCGTTAGATTACAATTAGAAGCATTCTTAGGGCCAGCCGTCGTTTGGGTCGTCAGGTTGTACCAGTCCCTCTGAATTATGGGAAATTTCTAGGGCGAAAAGCCGCTAAGTTGTCAGAGTAATACATGCCCAAGACATACCTCATCCTGAGAAACAGTTTGAGACGCGAAAGAGCTAAATTCAAGTCAGTCGAGGAATGATCACGACGGTCGCGAAGAAAGATGTACCGTCACACCCTGTCACGCCGCTTCGCCTCAAACTGTCATCACGATCTTTGTTTCTGGTACTTCAAACGAGCACTATGATCAATACCTCCTGAGTTCAAGGTTGACCAGATACTCAATGATTGTGATTCAAACTCCCTTTCGACACCCTCTCTATGGCTACCTCTTTGCCGACCTCGCATCTTTCAGCGCGTCAGTTCGACACAAACCCAAATGGTGCGAGAACCTTGCCAAGCTGACGGACTCTGCTGTCAGCTGTATTCGATATATCTCTCCCTGACTCTCGATGCTGTAGATGAGGACAGGGATGAGGGAGTTTGCGAAGAAAACGTGTACCGCTTGACTCCGTTGTCTCAAGGGTAGGCTTTACGCTTTGGAAGGTTCATAAAGCGACTATGGCGTGAAACTCACGCTTTTTGACGCGGACTTAGCCCTTGCCTGCACAAACTTGCATCTTCGAACGACCCATGCCTCGTTTCTACCTTTACGGGAATCATTGAGCTCAAACACTGAGGATCCTGATCCCTTAATCACCGTCATATGCTATTTCCCCAACTCCAAGTCCTCCAGCTACAACTCGATTACCGTGGAAAGCCTGGTATAGTGTACACCCTTCCCCTTCCTGTTATCCTCAAATCGACCTTTATCATCCGAAAGAATGGAGATTGTACTATTGCTTCACCTACCCTTTGCATATTCCTCCTGCTATCTCGGCATCCTCTCTATACTGCTGCTATGCAAGTCACCACAATCTCGTCGAGTATCGGCATTCCCCTAGATGTAATGGAAGATTTTGCTGGTCCCTTCGTCTTGCCGGGCATCCGCATTCTGGGACGACCGCCCCTTTTTAGCTCAGTTTGCAACCGTGAGTATCGAAGATCATAATTAGTCCGATTCCTGAACTAATCCGATAAACGCTAAACCCACTTTGAATAAGCCGTCTGAGAATACGGATGCTGTGAGTGCTCAGATAGATGACATGAGCGACACCGGTGATCTGATTGCAGGCAACAAAGCTTCAGCTCCCTCAGTAAACCATTCAGTTTTGACAGGACACCTAAGGGGATGGGCTAAAGAAAAATATATCCATTTCAGGGGGGAAATGAACTCCATGCACAGGCGTATCTAGGGACGATCGCCACCCTTGATCTCCAGTTTCAATCGTGAGTGTCGCAAGTCATAATCTGCTAACCGACCGACTCTTACAAGTTGCGCCTTTCAAGTGAACGCGCGGAGTCGAGGGAACTATGAATATGCCTCCATTGGTCATCTCAGAACGGATGTATCGCAAGCTTTGATAAATTTGGTTAGCAACGCCGATGCCACCATCTGACAATCGTGGGTTTGCGGTCTTCTACATCCACTCACGCACGCCTGGTTTCTGATGTGTTCGAGCACAGCCGCTATCCATTACCTTCAATTCGACACCCACCCTTGTAGCTGAGCAGAAATTGATAGGTATCATGCCATCCAACGAGCAGGAAAAGAACAACACAGATAGAGTTCCCGAGAAGGAGGTGCGTGCTAGCTTACATCCTCAAAAGCCTGAGCTAATTCTATCTCTTAACTGACTACGCATATGACCCATAGAACCTGGTGACAAAAGAGAAAGCTTGGGAGGAAGTTATGAAAAGGGTCGATGAAATTGATGGCGGGATGGAAAAAGGCTGGAAAGAAGATATCGATACCCTTTTAGTTTTCGTGCGTCTTTCAGTTAATTACCGAGAAATTTCACTGATACTCCAAGTCGACAGGCCGGTTTATTCTCAGCAGTCGTAACTGCGTTCACAATCGAGTCTTATCAGTGGCTCTCAGAAGACCCCTCTGACCAGAGCATCGCAATCCTCGCTCAGATCTCTGCTCAGCTCAATGACCGGAACGCCACGAGATTTGAGCCCACTCCATTCACCCCATCCCCTTCACTCGTTCGTATCAATGCCTTTTGGTTCCTCAGCTTGATACTCGCCCTCGTCGATGCCCTGTTCGGATTGATGTGTAAACAGTGGCTCCGAGAGTATCGAAGGCCAACGAAAACCCGAACTCCAGAGCAATGGTTGTCCTTACGGTGCTTCAGAGACGAATGCTTTGAGCGATGGTGCGTCCCATCGTTCCTTGCTGCGCTCCCGATTATCTTGGAGATGGCCCTCTTTTGCTTTTTTGCTGGTCTTTTGGAGCTGCTCTGGACAAAACATCGCGTTCCTTTCGCCATTGCGGTAATCGTTGTAGGATGTGCACTTGCATTCTACATTGCAACAACTCTACTTCCTGGTATTGACATCGTTCGAATTGCGTCTCGTGTTTATCCTCAAGCCTATTTGGGTGGGCTCTCTGACCAGACAATGTCTGATCTACCCCAGATGGATTATCTCTGTCCATACAAGTCGCCCCAGGCCTGGTTCATGTTCAAGCACCTTGCTTGGATTTTGGGTCCTTCGTCCCCGTTCTCCCGCCTAATCATATCGTGGTATCGAACGAAAGGGATTGGAGACGGGGGCGTTGAAATTTTTGCTGGCTCAACGAGAAACAAACTACAGCATCTCAGCGATTGGTTTTCGATTGACCTGGACATTATTG